TCTGGTTTTCAAGCCAAATGCAAAAATTTAAAATTAACGCCGGACTTGAAAATCGCTCTTGGCTTTAGGCTCATATTTAGAGAACCGATTGAGCTCTAAGGCTCTAGTTGTCAATGCTTTATTGAGCATTACCATATGCACTTGCAAGGACCTTACCTATGCTCTTCAATTTTTAAGCACTAGTCCAATTTAGCAGTGTTTTTTGGGCCAAAAAACCGTTTTTTTTCACTTTTATCTTTCTGGTTGTTTTCTGATATTTCACCTTGTTCGTGAGATATTTAATGAAATTAGTGCCAATGCGACATTGTCCCAGCTTCGCAAATTTAACCCGCGATTCCTGCCTGTTGGTGTTGTTTCTATGCGCTTTTTCCGATTATTAATTTATTCAAAATACACCCGGCAGGGACGGCAACCAATGCGTTCATTATTCATAGTATTTTGTAAATACATAGACAGTCTGATGCGGGTTTTTATTCCGAAACCAATCAAGCAAATAAATGGGGGTTTTTAATGTTTTCCACTCAATGACACAAGAAAAAATCCTTTTTTAATAAACAATTTTTGCGCATTCCATCAGCAGTTTATAATGCATTTTGATGAATTATTGATATGCACCCTGCCGTGTATTATTTACGGAGATGACGATTGGCTGGTTGTTGGCGCAAAAATGATTCGCCCCGATAAAATATGCAGACGGTTTCCCTCGAATGGATATTAGCGAATTACAATAGGGAAATCCGTTTCGACGCTTTTTCGATTAGATTGCTTGTTACGAGCGGCGTGATTAATGCGACAAAGCAATCGCCAACAATCAAAGCTCAGCATTCGTCCATGAACGCACGTATCGCTCCAATATATTTTCCAGGCATGCATTTGTCTTGACAACATATATAGAATGACAACATATATAGAAATTTTGCAACGACAAATTGCATAGCGAAAAGCATTTTAATCTGCTTGTTTCACTAGTGGTCGTTGGACAAGCTGCACAAGAATGAAGTGAAAAATCTGCATAATTTTTCCTGTGGATTAACGAGCCCCCGTCCAAAGCTTGAGAATATTGCCAGAGACAAACTGGCCGTAACAATTCCTTTCAATTAAACTTCTTTTGTTATTCTCACTAAACAGCTGATTAAATGCCCGTCTGATAAAGTCTCTGGCACTCATCGACCACAATTAGCTTTGCCGAGATGAAATGAAAAACCGGGCTGGTTCTTCGGCGAAAAAATACTGGGGGAAAAAGAGAATTGCCTCCATTCCGCATGCCGTTTTATACACCATTGAGGAGGGAGGCTCATTATCATAATTACTTCACTTTCAAAGAATGTGCGCTTTTCTTACTCCTCAGCCCCGGTTCTTGTCAATAAAAGCCATTATTTTCATGTGCAATCAACCGCAATTTTTGCCAATCAGTGTCTTTTCTAATGTCGAGCTTCACAGCGTTTGTATTCAGAATAACAACGTTGAGAGTGAAAAATGTAGCTGAAATCCGCTGAAGATTTGCGCTGGAATCTTTCCTTTTTGCGACGTTCTCACCTCAACTCTACATTTGCCTACAAAACTTTGAAGCATCTGGTTAAGTCTGAATGAACCAATCTTCTAACAAGGCTGGAAAAAATTGCTTGCCACTTACATTATGCAACCAAGTCAGGCGTCTCATTGGTGGATTCGCTCGCACTTTGCACTCAAAGTACACATCATCTCCCTCTTTGATATCGTCAGCATTTAGAGTACTGCCCAGGCTCAGATGGACAATTGGAGGATCTGAAATACTGCTCATTAAATAGTGTTTAATTGTGTATATTTTCCTGCCTCTATTTCAACTTAATTCAAAAGAAATTCCTGGGGTGCAGTCAATTTTATTGTTTGCCATTTAAAATGTTATAAAAACGTTTCGGTGTTTTTCTCCACCATCATCAGTTTGTCTTCACATTTGGCAAGCCATTGAAAAATCTTTACTTC